GGTTGAGGTATAGGTTGTTATGTTTTGGGGTTCTAGGGGGGGGTGCATGGTTAGAAAATGGAAATGGTCATCACTAACTCAAGCCGTACAGTACTAGCTTGAGTCCGCGCTCTTACTGTTGTTGTTGTGTTGTTGTTGTTGTGGTTGTGGTTGTTGTTGTTGTTGTGCCATTCATGTTGCTGTTACACTGGTGGTGCCGAAGCCAAGTCTAAGCGATTGCTCGCTTTGCCGTTGCCAGGTGAGCCGTGCCGTCCCTGTGTCAGGCCTGAGGGTGGGTCTGATGGCCCCCGAAGAAGAAAATTGACAGATGAGAGACTGGGAAGACGACGAGGGCGCGAACTGCAGCTCGACAGACGAAGGGCGCGACAACGACGGTTCTTGTGCAAGGAGTGGCAGCAAAGCTCTTGAGCTCTCCGCTAGCTCTTGCGTGTCGCGGTTTCGCGGGAGAAAAGTCCTCTGCCACTTCAGGGCTGGGGACCGAAGATCGTTTTGGCTCTTGCATGCTCTCGGGTCGTATCTGCTGCACGAGTGATCATAGAGAGGCGGTCTGAGACAACACGGAACATGACGGGAGGCTAGGCCAGGCAAGCGTACCATAGCATAATCCAATAAATTGACAGCAGAATGCTTATTTGACAACGTGCGAGCGTGACAGTGAATCTAGTAGTGCTGGCATATACAGTCGCCATGGATACCACAGATGACACACACACACACAGATTGGAAGGCTTCGGCGCAATGCTTAGGCAGCCGACTGCAATGAACACATGTATGCACCGGCATCAGCGATGGGAATGCTGATGGCATGGAGTTGCTCGGTTGAAGTTGCTCTGCGCGTGGCAACGATCCCTGCAGTTGCACCTCAGGTTCGGGAGCTGCAGAGGCGAGGAAAGGGGAAGGATCCGCCGGAGTCCGCCAAGGGCCTCGGCTAAGGGCCGAGCCCCGAGCCAGGCTGAGAAATGGCGGTGCCCGCGCGAGCTTTGGGGTTGCAGGAGGGCTACTCGCAGGACCTCTGAGAGACCGGAGAGACCCTCTTAGTGGCCCTCTTGCTGGCTCCTCGCAGAATGCCGCTTGAAAGGAGCAATGGGGTCCCTGGCGCAGCTTCGGATTGCCAGTCCCCTGAGTTTTCGGCTGCGACACCCGATGTGCCCACGCCGTCTCTCTTTTGGTTTTTTGGTCAGAGGCTTGTCCAGCAGGCGGTGTCGGAGCTGACTTGGCAGGCGAAGTGCCGCGCCTTCTGCAAGTCCTCTGCAATAGTCAATAGATAACTTGTAATGAATAATATATAATTCATAGTATATCATGTATTATATGTAATATACTATATATATATATATGTATATATGTATATATGTATACGTATATGTATGTATATGTATGTATATATAATATGCTATATAACTTTTTGCAGAGATGCGCAAGAACGACTCCCCCAGAGCTCAATCCCGACGCCAGCTCTGTCTCTTTCCGCGAGCTGCGAGCCGTCAGCGCAGCTTGGCTCGAGCCGAGAGGGCCGGGAGTCGCCGCTATGAGCAGGCAGAGCAGCAAAGAACAGCAGAGAGAGCTCCCAATACCCCTTAATTAAGGAATATATATATATATATCTTAAATTAAATTATAGGGGCCTTAGTATATTATGATTTATAAGGTCTCTATTCCTTAAATGAAGGGGTCTATTGGGATCTCTGGGAGCAGAGAGAGGCAGAGAGGCAGATCAGAAGCCTGCGAGGCCCGTCTCCGAGTTCCTTCCCGGAGCGGGAAGCAGGCCGGTTCTGCGGGTTCTGCGGCTCCCGCTCTTGCTGGGAGATTCCGAAAATTAGGGTACCTTCTTTTGGGGTCCTTATAATAAGGATCCTACTATTTAGAATTTAGGGTGCTGTATTTGGGTCCCCTATTTTCGGAAACCACCAGATGTGTCGTGTGCATTCCTTGCAGGTTTGGTGTTCTTCACATTCCCTCACCATCTCTGCCATGATCACGGCGCCCGTCCCGAATTCACTGCTGTCGGGGTTGGTCGCGGTGAGCGTCGTTTTTAGAGTCACAATCGGAGAACGACTCCATGAGAGGCAGTGGTCCGCAAGCTTTGGTCTGTGGCCCAGCCCACTCAGAGTAGGAATATGCCATCAGGGCAAAAGCACCTCAGAAGGCGAACTCTTTTCAACTTGCTGCTTTCGGGGCCGCAGGTTCTTTGCGCTGGTTTGGGGCAGCACTTCGGAGGCGATTTAGGAACTTTAGTGCAAAAAAAACTTCGATTCTTGAAACTTGGGAGGAGTCTCGGTTGATGAGGGCAAGTCCGCGCGAGCTTGCGATTCCCCCAGATTTTTTCGGATTTTTCGCTTCTGGAGGGGTAATGGCGCTCGTGCCTCTGGCTCTTCTTGAGGCCGGCGTGTCGCTGCAGGTGACGTGTTGCTCCCAGAAAGGGAGTGCTTGTTTACTGGCACAGAAAATCGGCAGGTGTTTCCGGACGGCTCACTTGGGCATCCTGCGAGGCACAGCGAGCCCACTGTTGCACTCTTTTCCGGTCCTCTTCAGTCCCTCAGGCACGTCGCAGCCCTCGGCCCGGGCCACCGCGAGGCGTTAGAGCTGCCACCGGCGGCGGACGTGCCACGTGCAGAGACGTCTGAGTTGCATGGAGGATGCCCTGCAGCAGACGGCGGTCCTTCACCACCGAGCTTGATGCTTGGCGATCTTGGTGGCTGAGCATCGAATGGCACAGAGCATAACAGCGGCTTCGACGCAACCGGCAACAAAAACACCTGGTAGCAGGTCGCGCACCCATCACATCCCCGCCGAGACTATGATCCCAGAGCAGAGGAGAAGGTATCATGGAAGTTTTAGCGAAAGCTACCCTCCGACAGAAGCCCCGGGTGTCTCCGAATCTCCGACGAGGCCTGGCACGAGCTCGAGGACAAAGGCACGACGGGTGACATGGAGGAACCCACGGAGCTGTAGAAGTAACTGTTACGCTGTGCAGCACAGCACGTCACGGCAGTTGGTCGTGGGTCGAATCCAGGACTTGCCACTCGTGTCCGGGCCGCACGACTCGCCGGGAGCCGAAGCGTGCGAAGCAATGCGAAGCAAGAGGATGCTCCGCTTGGGGGGCCCCAGCACATCTTCGAGGTGGGAGGGATCTTCGAGCCGGCTGAAGCCACACTCCTTCGCGGCAGCCTCAGCGACTTAGAGCGCGACGTATGCGCTTTTAGAGGGGCGCCGTGTGTGTTTCCGGGCTCTTGGGGTCTGGTGCTTTTCTTCACCAAAAACTTGGAGAGGACTGGGAGCTGCCCTCTGAGAAGTGGACCTCCGCGCTCTCCTCGCCCGAAGGCCCCGGCATGCCCCGGCTGTGGCTGTGGCGCGGGAGTGGCCCCGGATTTTTTGGGTTAGGCGACCTCCCACCGGGCGCGCCGCAGGGCGTGCAGGAGGGACGCGGCCCTGAAAGAGGGGCCCCTTCAGGCTTAAGGCTTAAGTGTGTGCGGAGCGCAGAGAGCGCAGAGCGGAGCCCAGAGCCAGGACGAAGCCGAGGAGAGGCGAACCGCCAAACGTCTTGTCAGGAGCTTCTGAGCCGGGCTTCCCCTCATTTGATCTCCTCGCCAGTTTTTTGTCTAGCTCTAGCTGAGAGGAACGTGGATAACTCCTTGCTGGCCATGGTGGTGCGCATCGGCGATGGTGTAGGCGGTTTTTTCTCTTGTCGCCCGAAGCCTGCCCTGCTCCTCGGCACCCCGCCGGAGGCCCCATCACCTACTCCAGGCGCCGAGCGCGAAGAAGTCTCCCTCTCTCTCCTTCTTTTCTAGAGCTCGGCTCCTCCTCCCCTTTTTTTGGAAGGTCTCCTGGAGTCCACCAGAGCTTGAACCGCGAGCTTCGGCAAAGGCTCGTGACGCAGGCCGGGCCTGGCCTCTGCACTCCTCGCGGCGGATCTGAGTAGAGGTAGAGGTAGGGTGCACCTAGGCCAAGTGTCAGTGTAGGCCAAGTAGTAGTTCGAGCATGATGGAGGCGAGCTGTAGAAGATTCGCAGATGGTATCAAATCAAGTATCAACACCATTCTTCCATGCATGAAGTCGTCGCTTCACATTGGCTTCACCTCTGCTCAACCCGGACACGAGGGACGAGTTGAATCTAACGAATTCTGGCTCTGTACAGATGCGAGTCTGGCAGGGCATGTGGCGGGACAGAGTTCGCATGTAAATGCATGTTCTGCGGAATTGATGCTTGCGGAGGACGCTGCTGCCGTCGGCTTCTTGCAGCTTGGACGGCATATCGGCACCCGCCACCTGATGACACAGTGCATGGTGTCACGGGGTGCGACGAGGCTTTTCGTCCTCGGGGTTGCTGTTTGGGTGAGCTGCTTGGGCGTCTACCAGTTCGCCGACGACCCATCGCAGGCAGAAGCTATCGCAAGGAAAATCGCTTTCTTTGGGCCTCTAGACCCTGGAAGGTGCTCTTCTACACAGACCCGAAGCGCGCGGCAGAGCCACCGTACCGACGCCATCAGACACTGGCAGCGCCTGCAAGGTATGCACAGCATCGGGTTCTCTGCACTTCTAGCGACCAGGATTCATTCCTCGAGGTGGCCCCACCACTTCTTTTCGCTTCTTGTGCGTTGGAGTATCGTCAGGCCTTCAACACGCAGCCTCAACGCGCCACGAAGCATTGCTGCAAGCAGCGGTAGCGCTTCGCTTTCTCCGATTTTCCATCTCTTCACCTGGTCGCGTTCCCTTTGATTCGGTGCTGTGTGGGTTTAAGGCTGCGCCTCATTGGCAGAAGGTCTTCGACAAGGAAGTTCGCCTCAGGCTGGATGCCTATGGTGAGCCGAGCACGAAAAGCGACAATGCGCAGGACCGGCGGGTGCTGCGAGCTCCTGCGAGGCAGTGTTTTTTTTGCGGGGAGCTCTTTTAGGCTCTGGAGTTGAGCTCTGTTTTTTTTTTTGAGGCTCCTTGGGTTCGGCGCTGGCGCGGTGCGCGGGCCGCTCCCGGCGCTTCCTGCTCCCGGGCCGCCGGAGCGGGGGGGATGGCGCCTTTTGCGGAGCCACGCGGCCTTTGGCCGTGTCCGAGCTTTTCCCTCTGCTGCCTTTTGTTGCAGGAGGCCGGTTGCAGATGCCGACATCTTGTTCGACGTCTCCTTAGACCTCAGCTCGCCGCTGCCTTATTGCGTCTGGTCGGACGCCCCTGGACCTTTTGCTGCACCTGCACGCGCTAAGCTAAGGCTGGACACCCACAGCCTAACTCATGCCCCTAAGTGGCATGACAATCATCCCCTTCAGCATTCCCACAAGCATCCCTGATATCCGGAACTCACGGTAGTCGCTCAGTACTGGAGTCGTAGTCTTTTTTATGGGCACTGTGAGAGGGCCCGTCGGGGCTCATCCGACAGCACTAGAGCGATAGCTAGACATGGGCACTGTGTTAGGACACGGGCACAGCGAGAGGGCCTGTGTCGGTTATTTGGGGGAACATCTGATCGGCTTGTGAATCGTTTTGGCTTATGATCGGATAAGGTTGGAGTGATTCCGAGGGGGACGTTGCCAGGTGAGATGTGTGTGTGTGTGTGTGTG